TGTCCCGGTCGCAGAACTCTCTGTATTCTATATTTAGATTATGATGTCATCATTTTTGATGACGTCAACCTCTGGGGTATTGTGACGTCACTGTGTCCCTGTGTCCCGGTCGCAGAACTCTCTGTTGTATACTACTAATAATTGTTTTATCATACATTGAACGAAAAAAAAGGAAGTCACGTTTTTGCTTCTTCACTGTCCGAAAGCAACACAAAGCGCGCGAACTTGACATTATTTCCCTTAGAAATCATGCACTGCGGTCATACATGACATGATTACCCATGACCTTGAGTGTCCTTGACATGATTATTGTATAATCTCCAGCAACATGACGTCACAGATGCTGATTTCGAAAATTCACTGTACGCTTTCGGCTAATCAAAAAAGAGATAGTGAGTTCAATGTGTAATAATAATGATAAACCATAAAGGAAGAAGGATGGTTACGGATGGAGAAGACTAACATGGATTGCAAACGACGAACTTGATAAGTTTAGGCTAAACTTTTCAAGATACAGAAACCATGACTCCTGATTTAATTGCCAGTTCGCGTATTAAAGTTCTCTTAGGTTTTGGAAATCGCTAAGCTCTCTCTAACCGCTGACCGCACGTAGGGCATTACACACTCGTCTTCCCACGCTCTTCGAATTGACGCGACAAGGTCTTCTACGGGGGGGGGNATCGTTGCATATTTGAGAATCTTTCTTTATTTTTATATTTTTTTTCATCTTTTTATTCTGTAAATATTTATATAAGGGCCACCCACCGGATTTTCAGTGATTACTGTTCTGTGTTACCCTGTGGGGGCTGGTAGCTACCTGTGATCTCGCCGCTCCTCTGGTTTCTATGATCGCCCCAGTAAAGACATCTGTCAATCATTTCAGAACCGTAACGAGCATGCGTTGAATAAACTCTTCGGTCCCATACTTGCTACTGGACGGTCACGAACATAAGCCATGTAGGTATGAATCAATAAAATTGGATATTTTCCCTAAACATTAAACGGAAAAAGCAATGCAAGCCCATTTTAGGCAGTAGCACTTAGATGTGTCTGGTCTGTAACTTGGTTATGTTTCCCCCGAGTATAATTTTGACAGGAAAGTACAACGACTGTGTGAAAGCTAAAAAAATATTTGTTTGAACTTGGAGCCTGTTCCAGGTATTCAGATTGTGGTTAGTGTCAAGATTAGACTACTGCAGCAGAATATTTCCCCCTCGAATTCCCCCCCCCAAAAAAAA